GAGAGGCAGTGGCACCTAGGAACCACCATCACTCTTTCCTGGCAGCACTGAGGTCCTTAGTGCTGTTGGTCGGGGGGCAGTTCACACGCATGGGCATCCTCTTCTCCTTGGGACTCTGCCAGCAGGAAGGCATGACCAGCCAAAGCCAGGCGGAGCGAGAAGGAAGAAGCCAGAGGGAGGCTGCTCAATGTGGCACCAGGGTCACAGGCCTGGTGACGGTGGGGTAGGCGTGGGCCTTTCAGTCCACCTGGGAGGTCCTGTGGCCCTGCGGCTCCTCCAGGATCCCCACAGCAGAAAAAGGCCCCCTGGCCCGAGTCAGTGCCAGCCATTGGTCGTCAGACAGGGGACGGGACAGGTGGCAGGTGCTCCAGAGCCCTGTATCTTTCCCAGTCCCTCTCCCTCCTCCCAGGAAAGGTCAGACTCTCTGGAATCCTGTCACACCTGCTGTGCTGTGTGCTTGTGACCCACATGCCAGCCACCTACTGGGTTTTTCCACCCCACTGTTCTCAGACTGGATAGGACAGGGCATCCCCTTTCCTCCTATCCAAATGCCCTCCTCCCAGCCTTGCCATCGCTGTGACCAGAGTTACTGTCCCTGCAGTAAGCCCACTGGCTCTTGGCCCTCCCCAGGCCCACCCCATGTGGCCTCCTAGGGTGTGGCCAGGCTCAGGCACCTGGTGCTCTGCAACTGTTTGTGGGATTGAGTGGCAGTGAGTTGCCAGGTCCCTACTGTTTCCGTGGCTCCTGGGCCACGGGTGTGGGAAGAGGTCCACAGAAAGACACCCAGAGAGGCTGGACAGGGCAACGGCGGGTCAGGAGGCGAGCCTGCCCTGGTGTATGAGGAGACACCCGAAGCTCTGGAGACCTGGAGAGGCCCCAGGAAGGGAGGAGGACCATGGCACAGTGGGGCCCCTCGTGGCCAGCACCACTGCCGTTGTCGGCCCCATTTGCCCTGCAGGGCTCCAGGGCTGAGCTAGTCTCCAGAGTCCCACAAGAAGGCTTGGTCACAGCCATGCAGCTCTGGAAACCAGACAGACTCCCGGAGCAGGAAGCTGTGTCGCAACAGAAACTTCCAGGCCCTGGCCAGTGGATGAGGCCCCGGTTGCCGAGGTGCCACACACCCCGAGAGGAGCCAGGCAGGCAGAGCGCGTGCAGCATCAACACTCCAGAGGCTGGGCACCCTTGGGACCAGTCAGGGCCGGGCCCCATGGGCGGCATGGTACTGGCACAGGCAGAGCACACCTCTGCTCCTGGAGCCCCACTGCAGCCCTAAGGACATCAGCCCTTCTCCATCCTTGTCCCTACCAAGCCAAGCCTCAAGAGGCCACTCAGCCCACCAACTGTGCAGCTGGTTGCAGTGGTGGCCCTCAGTAACAGCTGAGTCCCAGCGTCCCGTCTCCACTTGCTGTCTCCCGGCTGAAGGCTTCAGCAGAGCAGAGTCCCATATACAAACCTGAAAACCATCATGCATTTCCAATCCCTGGCCAGCCCCGTGTGGGTATATGGCTGTCTTGCCCTGTCTCTCTTTTCTGAGCTCCATCATGGTGGCATAGGGACACCAGGAGTTGCCAAGCAGGGCCCCTGCAGCCTCCACATGCTCCCTCTGAGAGGAGACCCAGTGACTGTCACAGAGACTTCACTCTGAGCTGGTGGGCACTGGTAAACAGGGACAATCCTACTCGAGGCAGGTGCTGTCCGTATGCGCCTCAGGCCTCACAGGGGCCTTCAGCCTCAGCCAGCACTGCCTTTCAGAACCTTCTAGAATCTCCTGAGGGGCCTCGTGTATGCTGCCTGAGGTCGGTGTATTCCCATCCTTGCTTCTCCCCTCTCAGGAGTGGAAGTGGAGAGCTCTGAGCTTCACCAGCCAAGAAAAACTCATGGAAAGTCGGCAGCAAAGTGTCCATGATTGGGATCCCAGGAGGGAAAGGAAGGGATTACTCTTGGCAACATGTGTCTTTTCTGGGGAACGTGAGCCTCAGCTTCTCTGGCCAGGGTCTCTAGGTGACAGCCATCACTGGAGTGACCCAGCCATGATCATCAGGGCTTTTTACAATTATCTCAAACACTCCTTTCCATAAAGATGAGTTTTCTTCATGGAAATAAGTCCACGAGTCTCGGTGGTCTTTTTAGATATTATTAAGATAAGCTCCACGTAAACATTTAGAAACTGCACCACCCATAACCAGAAGAGAGGGCTGCTGGTTCTGGAGGGTATTTTCCAGTGACCTCACTGACTTCTGAAGGGAAGATCCATATGTACAGTGCCATCCGCATGGGGCTTGTTTCCCAGTTGAAATGTTTCCAAAGCGGGGAGAAACCTTGTCCCCTGTCGTGTGGTTCTGGTGACCTTCGAGGACTGGGAGCAAGATTGCACGGCCCCAAAGTGGGGCAAAGGGATGTGATATGGGTTAATCAGAGAGACTTCTGGAAGCTTCAGGACTCACAAGCAGACAGCTGCATTCATTCAGGAAAGCGTCAGCAGCAGCTGCATCCCCCGATGACCTGGTCCTGGTGCCGCTGGCCTCAGACTGTGCCAGCCCAGCTCAGAAACGAGGTTGGAGTCAAAGTGCTGCTCCTGGGATCTCTAGCCCATGGGATCCGAGGGAGTTGGAGATAAAAGGGTGCTGGAGACCAGACGCTCTGACAGACAGAGCACCTCTGTCCCTTACCTGTTAAATGCAGGCACTGGAGTTCCAGCAAAGAGTCAGGGGGCTCCGCCACCTGTGGGCACCACGGCATGGGGTGCACGGCGATGCTGCCTCAGTAGGCCTGAGATCGGTGCCCTGTCAGCACTCTGACGCCTCTGCAGCCCCGAGTCAGCCTCGATAACCCGGACTACTGAAGCTTCTCCGAGAGAACCACCAGCATGGGGGCCAGGGAACCCACCATACCCAGGAGCTGACTGTTTTTCTGGGTTTGTTGGATGCAGTGATCACGGGCATCCTGGAAATCATTTTGTGTTCAGAGAATCCGCCATGCTTCTTGGTGCCATTTCTGCATTAGTGCATCCACTGGGAACTTGGTTTCCAATTTCCGGTCCCTCCTTCCTCTGACAAGTCATTATGTGCTGGCTGTCACGATTGCCTCTGTGTCCTCACTTAGAGGCAGTGCTGGGCATGATGTTCCCAAAGGGCCACCAAATGGAGGATGACCTGTCCTTCTCTCTTTGGTCACTCTTGCCGCAGAAAAGGGGGACTTGGGACGCTCCAGACCTTGGTTGGAAGTTAGTAGCGGGTCCTGGGCTGATGGAGGGCTCAGCCATGGCTTGGCAGTGGCGATCAGTGTCCTCACCTGTCCTGCTGTCTGGCTCCACCTGACACTGGAGGCTGGGCAGCCTCACGCGTGGCCACTTTCCATCCATCCTTGCCGGTCACTTTGTCTTTCCTGAGGCCCTGTGTGGAGCTGAGGAAGCACCCAGGAAGGCTGCCCCCCCACCACGAGAGGGCTCCTCCTCCACCACACAGCAGGGCCCGGGGCTGGCTGGAGACTTGTAGCTGGTTTGTAACTGTGTTCTGAAATTAACCACTTGGAAGAAATGGGGTAAAATGATCAGGCATTGGCATGCCAGTGATCCCATCCTGGCAGGCTCTGTGGCCAGGACCGCTGAATCTCGGGTTGCTCTGGAAGCTTCTTTCTGCCAAGGTTGCTATCAGTAAGCAGGCACCAGCGCTCTTGGCCACTCATGGCCAGACTCAAACAATGGCCCCTGTGTTCCACCGGCGAGAGTGTCCCTCGGCACGCTCCCCCCCACCAGGATCAAAGTCTCAGCTTCCTTTGTGGCACATGAGACTGCAGGAAGGCTTGTGTGTTCCCAGCCTGGGGATTGTGGTGGGACCCAGGAAGGGATCGGCTGCCCATCTCCTGGGTGGCTCTCAGTTCATTTCCACTGTGCCTTACAGTCGATTCCTGCATCACCCACCGCAAAGGCCCTGTCCACACAGGCTGGGGAAGCATCTCTGCGAGAGCAGAGAGGTAGCTTTTCCAGGCTGGGAAACAGGTTGGGGTGGCCAAGATGTGTCCCCTCCCTAGGGACCCAGGCCCACCCTCCCCCTTCCCGACGGTAGGCCTTCCACTTCCTCCCTCCGCATCAGCGGCACCAGCTGGATCTGCTCTGTGGCTATGGGCTGGGGCTCCCGCACCCGCTCCTGCACACCTCCCACACACAGCACGCAAGATGTGCACACAGAAGAGGACAGAGGACAGAGCGGCCCAGCTCACTTACCGGGTCACTCATGGAGAGGCAACTTCCTGTCCTAATTAACCATAGTCATCCGTAGCTGTCCTCAGCTGCTTCCCACACTGACCCCCGTCCATATCCTCGGAGATTCGAGGCTTGGAGCCCTGCGATGAGGCTCATTCCAAACAGCACCTGACTTGTTTTGGCCAAGTTCGGCTTCGCATGCCTTAGCAGCTCACCCGTCAGCACTGCTTTCCCTCTTCTCCCTCCACTGCTCCTCGGGGTCACAGGCAGAGATGAAGGGAGGACATTCTGCCTGTGTTGTTGCTGTCTGAACAGTGTGGACTTTGGGGCCAGAGGTCTGGATTTAGTCTCTGTCCCTGTTCTTCAGCTGTGTCACACGGGGCAAGTTACATAACCTCTCTGTATTTTCCTTAGCTGTGAAGATGTGTTGTCGCTTTGGGCGTGCGTCTCATAAGGTTGCCGTGAGGCATTAATAAGCAGGTCCAGTGTGATCTGATGCATCCTGTGTCTGTACAAACCTTAGCTGTGACAAGGATGTTGACCACAATGTCATCGATGTCATCATTCTGGGGTGGCAAAAGATGGTGGAAGCACATGGGCTTGGAGTCAGGGGATGTGGCCTCAGGCTGTGACTCTGCTACCCACTGGGGTGGGGGCAAGGTGCAGGTTCTGAGCCCCAGTGCGCCTGTTTCTGAAGCTGGGGCTCAGAGGTGAGGACGAGGGTATGTGAAGGCCCAGGAAGCAGGGCCAGAGAGCAGTGCACCCCACACCGGGCTAACTCTGTCCTCTTTCCCTGCAGGCACACATTCTGGCAGTTCCGCCAAGAGAACCCCAAGACCAGGGTCGGAGGGCCTCCCCCTGAGGAGCTCCCAGGCTTCAACAGTGGGGTGATGCTGCTGAACCTGGAGGCCATGCGCCAGTCCCCACTCTATGGCCGCCTGCTGGAGCCCGTGCAGGTGCAGCAGCTGGCCAGTAAGTACCACTTCCGTGGCCACCTCGGGGACCAGGACTTCTTCACCATGATCAGCATGGAGCACCCTGAGCTCTTCCACGTGCTGGACTGCACCTGGAACCGGCAGCTGTGCACCTGGTGGCGGGACCACGGCTACAGTGATGTCTTCGAGGCCTACTTCCACTGCGAGGGCCACGTCAAGATCTACCATGGGAACTGCAACACCCCGATCCCAGATGACTAGGGTGCCTCTGGAACAGGCCCTGGGCCACACCAGCCCCTGCAGAGACTCTACAGGGATGTCCTTTGGGATCCGGGTGCTGCCGACCTCTCAGCCAGCTGATCCCTGTCCCGAAGACACCCCACAAGCATGGAACTTTGAGTAGCTGGTGCTCAGGACCTAAAGTCAGGGGGCCAGCATCACCAGGACAAACTCGGGAACATCTTCCAGTTGGCTGGGAAACAGCATTGGAGGAGAAGAAAGAAAAGCAAATGATGTCCTTGACCTAAGGAATCAAAATCCTTTTAAGAACTGGTCTTTCCTGGACCAAATATAAATTTGATTCAAATCACCAGGCTTGTGTTTTATGAGAAAGAACAGCACTGCTATAGCTCTGGGTGAGCTCGGAGTGAGTGAGCCTGGCTTCCGGCAGGCAGCCGGATCTCAGCCTCCCAAGGAACCCCGATCTTCCTCGTCCTTGCCCATGAGGCTGTGGGCTTCCTCTCAAGATGTCACATGCTCAGTGCAGCCCTCAAGATCCACCTTTTTAGAGGAGACCTTCAGGGCCAGCTGGGGCCCAGTAGCGGTCTGCTTATTGTAGTGTTCACAGCTTGTATCTCCCAGTTACATCACAGAACGCCAGTATCCCTCGTTCCTTGTCCAGCCAGCCCAGGTGATCTGACTGTACTAAGAAGTCAAGTCAGCCACCAAGACCAGTGATTGGCCACTCTGAGGATGTGCAGTAGAGTTGCCTGGACCAGGAAGATTGATTCCAAAGAGGAGCCCAGCCATTCACAAGCACAAGGCTTGTCATCGTTCTAGCCTCTTTGTTTAAAAAAAAATTCATCTTTGTCCTTTTCTACCTGTACCCCACAGAAATTAGGGTGTGGTTTCTTTAGTTCTTCTTGTGACTGATTCCTCTGTAAGTGAGCTGCGAACCCAAAGCCCATCATGGTCCATCTCATGCATAGTCCAGCTAAATCTGGCCAGAGATGCTGTGGGACTGTTCATCTCATTCTGTTTCAGTTTTATTTACTTTTGAACTCCTTCTCACCACGGGTGAGAGAGCTAATAAATAATCTTTGAGAACACAGTGATTCGTTGTATTTGTTCTCCCACCAGTTTCCAGCTGTAGGAGGTTCTGAGTGAAGAGTGTGGTAAGTACCAGGCCGAGCTCCCTTCTCCTGATCAAGCCAAGCGCACTCTCAGTGGGCCTCTGAGGACCAGAGGGAGCCCAGGGCTGAGGACACAGGCAAGGCAGCTTTGTATCTGGGTCAGAGTAGAGAAGCATTTCACTGTAGCAGGTCCCTGTGCTCCTGGGACAAAACAGCCCCATCTGTTTTCATGCTTCTTAGGCCAGACCTTCCCCTCTACCAGTTACCCTGTGTCCTCGCCTAACCAGTGACTGGGGCTGAATGGGTCTGGTCTCTTAGTCAGTTGATTTACAATTTGTAGCTACCAGCTATTGAGTGCCTGTGTCAGGCACTGTAGTCGGGGACTTCTATGTGCTATTGATAAAGCTCATGAAAACCTCAGGAGGGTCATTCCAGTTCCACAGTGGATCTCAGAAAACATAAGTGATGTGGACAGTGTCACTACATTGTTTATCACAGCATTTTTCATAATAGGAAAAACCTAAAAAGAACTTAAAATGTTGAGTGGGGAAGTAGATAAGAAGCGTACGCTCTGTCTGTGTAATACAGAAAAAGAGGCAGAGAGTCGAGCAAGCCTGCTTTGCCATTGTCATTAGTTCAACTCCTAAAAAGCCATGTGTTTCAAACACCACATTAAAAATCAATTATTTCAATGGGGAAAAGATTGGATTACAGGCTGGGGAATTTTAGATTCACAATAACAAAGGCATTTTTCTGCAGTCATTTCAATAATTAAAGTGCTTCTAAAGCTCTGAGTGTCTTTTTTTATTGCAAGGGAAAACAAACTGCTTGGCCAAAATGGGCATAAACCCAACAACACCTCCCAATTCCTTTGAGGTCACCAGTCCAGAGCTCCCCTCCTCTGTCCCCAGTGACCGTGACCTTGCCAGCTGACTCCAGCAAGTGGAAATCCAGCCAGATCAATGCAGCCTCGGGTTCCTGCGGTTCACTACCAGCAGCTCTTTGACAAATCCTGCCACACTGGCTCCTGATTGGGGTCCTGTTATAATCAGTGCGATGCAAACAGAATTAATTGTGCTGTGCTCAGGGGGCTTCGTGAAAGCTTTTGCTGTTGCATTTGTGCCAGTACACATGAGGGAATGGAAGTCTGAAAAGAGAACATTCTGGGGTCCTAAAATTAAGGTATTTTTATCTTCATATTTCTGTATTTCCCCTAATGAATGTTAATTGATTTTGTAATGAATGCTATACATTTTTTAACCTCAAGCCTTCTCCCCAAGTATCAGTAAGGAGCTTGCTGGCTATTTTACAGCTCACAAAGGTTGGCTGCAGTTGACATTACCCATAAGAAAACATAACCAGGCTAGCCAGGCCATGAGTCCTCAATTTCCCCAGTGGATGCCCTAGTTCTCGAAATACAAATAATCCCATAATAGCAGCTCCAGGCCCCGCTTTCTTTTCTCAGGCACTGTTGTCTTTTGTGTGTGCACCTCGAAAGTGACAATGGCCTTGGGAAAGCTTGCCGTCTTGCTGATGAGATTAACTCTTGCATGTGTGTCAAGCCAGGCCGACTGCAGCACCCCCATCCATGGCACTTACTCAGCCATAGAATGTCGTGTGGGCTCCCAGTGTGGAGCACACCAGGGCCAAGTGCAGCCGTAGCCTGGCCCTGCTTGGGCTGACGGCCAAGTCTGCCCATTTGAACCCTTCTGGGCAGATCTTCACTTGGGAGGCCCGAGGATGGGGAGAGCCTCCCTCCTGCACCCACCTTCTGTCCTCATGACCTGGGCCATTCTAGGCAGGCAAGGTCACCTCTCACCCATTTCTAGGTTTAGGTAATAAGAGCCCCCCCAGGGGGGCTATAGGAGGAAGAGAGATGTATAAGGACTCGGTGAGTTGTGAAATAACAGACTCGAGAGAATTCTGATCATTCTTAACTAAAATACTCTTGAAATAAGCGACAGCCACTGGGGGCTCATTCAGTGCATTGGGAAATCTCCCTGAACCATTGCCCACTTCGTTGCTAGCCACAGCCCTCTGCAGAGGCCCAAGTGTCCAGGAGGGCGGGGCCCCTCAGCACACAGGTCCAATATTCAGGGTCCCTGGATAAACCCCTTCCATCCCTGGGCCCCAGTTTTTCTCCATCTCTGAAAACAAGGGGGCAGCTGGTTGAATGGAACTCTAAGCAGAATCTGTCCCAGCTCTGGGGAGCAGTGGTGTTTCTCACCCTTCCATGGGGTTCACACGCATCCACTGGTTCACACCTGTCCACTGGGTTCCCAAAAGCAAACCTTCCAGCCCTCAACTGGCCACTCACCAATGTGGAATTTACAGCCACACAACCTGAAATTCACCCAAAATCTACCATGACCCACTGCCCTTTCTGGAGGGAGACTGAGGGGTACAGATCAGTGTGGGGAGCTGTTTGGAGTGAGGAGAGAATCAGCTGCTGTCCAATAGCCCCGGCCGCCCAGCTTTTGACTCGCTAGGCTGAAACCTTTAGCTTTGGGCGCAGGTGCCCAGCTCCCAGAGGGCATCCTGGGCACAGCGGCTCTGTAGAAGCACCCACCCTGACATCACACAGGGAAGTACCAAGGGTCAAGCCCCTGCCAAGCAGGCTGGGTGGTGCTGCCCTGTGGGACACTCGGAGCACTGGCCACCTGCTCCCTGGGGAGCTTGCATGAGGCAGAAACCCTTGAGCCAGCGCCATGAAGGCTGCTGTGCTGGAGGAGCCCAGCTCTGAGAGGTCCCCTCCTGTACCCCACATGTGTGGAACAAGGGTCCCCCCTGCTGAAGTTCCCACATCCTGGGAGCCGGGGCCTTTGCACACCTCCAAGGCCAGCGCCCTCCTCTGCTCCCTCCTTCCTGACCAAGCTCCTCAGGCCCGTGCATGGCCACACGAGCCCAGCCCGGGGAGTCTTTCTGCCTCTGGAGAGCAACATAGTGACAATCCTTCAATTCAAGGCCCCAGCTGCTCCCTGCAAGGCCTCTCCGGTTTCTATTTATTCCTTTCTATCACCATTTCCACTCCCATTCTCCCAAGCCCTCACTCCCTCCAGTGCTTTCTGTGATCCTTTTTCTATTCTTGCAATATAGCTTTTTTGTTTCTTTTTCTTTACAGTGCTGGGGATGGAATCTGGGGCCTCCTGCTTGCTAGGCAAGCACTCTGCCCCTGAGCTACATCTTAGCCCTTTTGTGTTTTGGGAATTTTGTTTGCTTGTTTAATTTTGAGATGGGGGCTCACTAAATTGGGGAGACTGGCCTCAAATTTGAGATTCTCCTGCCTTGGGCTCCTGAGTAACTGGGATTACAGGTATGTGCCACCGCACTTCGTTTACACATGTGTTTTAATTTACATAGCTCTGAGTCTGTCTCACGCTCAGTCTTTCCCCATTCTGCACTGCCTTAATGCCACCAGCCCAGGCTACATATGGACTTGGCAAATAGCTCATTGTCAGGGTGCTGGGATTTAGACCTCAGTGCAATAAAAACAAACAAAAATCCCCATACTGGGCCAGGAATTTAGCTTAGGGGCACTGTGCCTGCCTTGCAAGTGCAAGGTCCTGAGTTCGATCCCTGCTACCAAAAAAAAAAAAATCCCCATACCAGTCATGTGCCAGCTGCCAGTTGCTACCCCAGGATTCCACCAGCTGCTACTCTGGCCCACCCCCACCACACACACAGGGATGGACCCCGCTGTGCCCTGCCATGTGCTCACCGGGCCCCGCCTCAGCTTCTCCATCCCTGCTCCTGTGTCTTGTGAGTTTGTGGCTCGAGGGGTAGACAGACACTTTCATTTCTGACCCACTGGTGCCACCTGCCTACGGGGTGGTGGCCCCTGCCTACCCTCACCCACCAGCCCTGCTTTCTTTCTTTTCTTTCTTTTTTTTTTTTTTTTTTGGTACTGGGGATCAAACTCGGGACCTTGTGCTTTCAAGGCAGGTGCAGGAACCACTGGGCTAAATCCCCGGCCCCGGAGCCCTGCTTTCTGACACACCACACTCCCATTCCCCGACCTGACCCTGACCTGTGGGTTCCGATCATCCAGGGGGCTCCAGGGCTCGCTGCCCTGTCACAGCTGACGTCAGGCCCACACTCCAGCTCCTGTGGGCATGGCCTGGGGATCCCCTGGGCCAGAATGGCTTTGCCATGGCACCCAGCGGAAGGTGCAGCACTTTTGAGTGCCAGTTATCCCAGCCAGGAGGCAGACGATCCTCTTCCGTTTAGCCACAGGTGGAGGCAGGACTGTCGCTAATCTTCCAAGGCTAAGTGAACACACACATAGAAAAATGTAAGTGCTGGTCACAGGTGAGAGCTTCTCGGTGACTTTGGATCTCTCTCTGCCTGCCCTGTCTTTCGGGGGATTATCCTCCCCTCTCATCCAGGAGTCCATGACAGCGCCTCTCCTGCTGCCTCCCAGCTCTCCCCATCCCTTCCTAACACCCAGCACCACCTGCCACCCCACGTGCTTGGGGATGTCCCTCCAAGATCTCCAGAGCCCAGACTCCAGCGGGGAGAGAGAGGCTCTGTGAGGAGTTTAGATTTCCTGGAAAAGAGACGCCCAGACCTCTGTCAGGTGACAGGCGCTCTGCTCTATCCTGCTGTGGGCAGGACTCAGACTTCGAGGCTTCTCAGACTTGCCCTGCCACCAACTTGCAAGTTACTCCCTTCTCTGGACTTCATTTTCCTCCTCTAGAACAGAAGGGAGTTGGGCAGTCTACAGTTCAAGGCCTAGGGGGAAATGAACCTTTATTTATTTTTTTTCTTTTTTACTTTTTTTAGTGTTTTGACACAGGGTCTTGCTGTATGTAACCCAGGCAGCCCTCGAACTTGTGGCAATTCTCCTGCCTCAGTCCACCGATGTGCCCTGATGCCTCTTGTGCCCAGAGCCTTGCTTAGCCCTGCCTGGAGCCCCCTCCTGTCCTCACCTCCTTTTCTCTCTCCTCTTCCTGCTCCTCAGTGGAGCCACAGCTCGAGA